TATTATGAAGTCGGCAAATTTAATCAGTTGCTCCACCCTTTCAAAAGTTGAAATGACGCTCCTGGAATACTATACACGCATTCGTAATGTTACGTTTCTCTAGACTGACGAGATTGAAACAACAGTTTGTTATTAATACTGTTCCTCGCAATAAATTTTATAGAACGCAATGGAATCAATTCGGCTTAATATCAACCCTGGTCTCTGGACGTTATATATATATGATAATTTTTGAACGATAATCGTTGTTTACAACTTCGTGATCGTAAACTAAAGATTCACTACTATCAAGATAATAATTTACCCTAACTAATTCGTAAGTAGTAGTACTCGTGTGAAAAAAATACTTCATCATTAGATTTACTCGGTACCTACATAAGTATAATTGAAGCACGAGAAGTGATTAAATAATATATTATGTTATGAAAGACCTGTGTTGAAATCCGTTTTGTGTTGTTCATACGACTACAAGCTAAAATTTTCCTCGGTGTTCTTCATAACGCTTATTTTGAATTAATTTGAAACATTTTTAAATCCTAACAAATGTCCATCCATTCCGTGCAGTGTTGTGTATACTAAAACATCCGTCCCCAAAGTCTTTGATTACATACATCTGTGTTTTCACGTGAAATTTGATTTTATAAACGGTTTTTTTAGTATAATTTCGATAGAGATTTATTTATTTCCTTGTCGTATTTAATTTTTATTTTTATTTATTAGCATAATATATATATATATATATATATATGTATACATATTTACTCATGGAGTGAGTAATATTATGACTTGCATTATAGGTAAATAATATATTAATATGTTTATTGCAATAAAACGTGCACTGTAAAAATCGAATAAATTCAATGTTTCACAGTGTAATGCCGCTAGCCGGCGTTTTGTTCATGGAATATTGTAACAGTTACGAATACACAACCTATGTGTGCATTCATGATATTATAATCTCGAGTGAAGGTTGTGTTTTTTTTCTTTTCCTGACCACGATCATGTATCGTTTCGAATAATCAAACGAATACCAATGCGGCCAAGAGGAATTCGTGTAATTGTACGGATATATTATTAAGTTCCAAAATCTAAAGTACACATAAACGATGTCACCGAACGTTGTACCAGTTCGAACAGTCCAATAAGTTAGAATAAATCAATGCGATGTCGTAGCACGAGCCACGTTACAGAAATATTGCTGTAATCATACGTATGTTACATCCGCCGTGTACGCATGCATCACGCGCGCGATCGCAAAATTGTTTCTTCTTCTCGAGGAATTGTGCGAGAACGGATAAAAATAAAATCGATAGAACTCCACGCTCGTCTATACTAACGCGTACGCGTTCGGTTCATACGATTTACAACGTAACGAGTATCCCGAACCTTGAAGCCCGGTGTAATAACCGACGTCTGAAGTCTTGAAAAACAAGCATTATTATAATTACCATATTATGCACCTACGAATTGAATACTTAAACTGTCCGGAAACGCACACGTGTGGTGTTGCCACGTTTCATACAATTATCCTCTCAAGTACATCTGTAGACGCGCGCAAACAACAACAGAATATAGTGGCTCGAGACAAAACGGTGTACAGTAACTTACGGCAGGACTATAAAAACTAATGCGTTTTTCTTAGAGTTTCTGTACGCGCACATCTCGAACAACAATAAATATTAAGCATACAAAACATTTAGCTGGTAATTTGAGCAATTACTTAATTCAATAAACGCGTTTGATCCTTAATGGTACCTATTTAAAAGTTATGAAAATGAGATATCGACCGCTGTTCAACCAAATCACCGAATAGTCACCGTTAGCGAAACATTTACAAATCGCTTTGGTGCGATAATAATTATACGAATATAATCATGATTGATTGATGCAAAAGCGTTTCGAGATAATATTTTCTCGTTCGATTCGTCTTAGTGAATTTCAGACGAAACAGAAATATTGAATTTCTATAATATTTGTATAATTTGACGGTTACACTAGACCAGCGTTTCTTACCCGGGAATACGCGAAAAGATACGAAAGAGTACTCGGTGGAAAAAGTATAATGGCGGAAAATTTAATAATTCATGTATTTCAATTAACATATTATTAATGAAATATTGGATAACGATCTTTTTTCGTCACGCACGTTCATCTAAAATAAATATCGTTATAGACTTTTTGTGAGTTTAGACTTACGAGTTAACTTATCGTCTGTAGAATTAGATTTCAAAAATTAAGTGTAATCAAATAACCTCAAAGATTGTATTAAAATTGAATTCTAAAATTTACATTATTTGTTTGTATACATTATATGGCGCACACCGATTAAAATTAATAAATAATTCATAGTTATTTATTTTCCATTCAAATTAATTTTATAATTTTTTATTAATCCTATGTGAAAATAGACAAATTGACAAATAGAGAGTTATTAGGTATTTGAGTAAATCAATGGTGAGAGGTCAATGGGTACTTGAATGAAAAAAGGATGAGAAACGGTGCACTTAAACGGTTGAGTATGTTTGTTCTGCGAACGTTGACTTCTATCACGTGTGTGATATAAAATGATTAGAGACCGATAAAAAAAATTACGTACGCGCGTATACTACACTTCGACTATAATTACTACAATCGATGTAGAGGAAGATTGTAAATGGGCAGTGTTTATTTACAATCGGAAACTCAATAATGTTATTTGTATAATGTGATTCGTTTCCTTCATCTTTATTCCAATTAAATTTGTTCACGGGTTCAACTATGGAACATGTTATACTCCCATGGTTTCGAAAACGTTATTCTGTAGTCGCTGAGTAAGTTTGTTACGTTTGTTTGATATTATTTATAATTTTATTTACGCCGAGATTGTTGTTTGTTTACTTATATAATTATCACATTGTCGTGTATTGTAATAAGTTTAGCAATCGATACTTAATTTTTATATTACTTTTAAGTTGTATATTTTGATTAATAATAGTTTATAATTTATTTTATTTGTTTTTTTTTTTTAACTACTTTTATTAAAAATTACTGCGATTTCGATTTTTATTCAAACAAAAATATAATTGCCTCGGAAGAAATAACTGATTTATATTCAATAATACAATATTTATACAAGAACATTAATAATGATGTAATTTTATTTTATCAGTCCCGAGGTTGTTGACCGTTATAAATTATCAACTAAAATAAATTCATGGATTTTTGATTACATTTATATTCATATACAAATTCGTATTTTATTTTCTTACTACATAAACTATGACGTAAACATGTGTATGATTTTAAGTTTTAAATTATTTCGGTACTCTTGTCGAATTACTGTTGTTGGATGCTGTGGCGGTGCGTCAGGGTAAACTTTGAGACGGCGTCTCCCCAATAATTATAACATCGGAAAAAAAAAATATTGTTTTAAATTATTTTCAAGTATTTGTGTAATCTATATGTAAATAATAGTTGTCAACTATATTTACTATGTATGTGCATGTGTGTATTATATTATGTCCATCGTGGTGTGAATACATATGCTTTAATTCAAATATGTTCTTAGCTATTTTCGAATTCAGCGATAACGATGGACGACGGTATCGTAAAACGAATGAGACGGTCGAACGACAGTCTCAATTCTAATTTATGGGAGGTAAATAAAAGTTCGGGGGAAATCCATTTTCGATAATGGTTACTGTACGGAGTCCAATAGACTAGTCTCTGACGCGTTATTCTTTGCGTATATTTGTGTAGTGGGTTATCTTGTACATTAGATCTTGTAGCGTGTTTGATTTAATATTGAAATAATGGAATTAAAACGTTGTACTTTAGTGAATTATTAAACAATGATTTTCATTTATTTACGTATGATGAAAAATTAAAAAACAAAAAGCCGACTCCATATTTATTGATTGAATATAAATACGGAAAATTTACCCGTACATTTCAAAGTAGTTGGTATGATAAATGTACGTGGCTACTAAGCTAGTAATTAGTACTTAACGCAACAAACTTTTTTTGTTTCATTTGTGTATTTTTTCGAGGTGAAATAGAATGGACTTTTGTTAGAATATCAACTATAGAAAATATAATAAGAAAAGGAGAAAAACATGCTATTTCGAAAACACACTTGAAAAATCAAGAACAATTTTATCTTTTGGGAAAAATTCGTATTGAACATGCCATTTCAGATTAATATTAATCATATTAATATTTATATTAATTTGTTTGTTATTTTATCAGTTTTAATTTATATCTATAAAATAAATATTAATTAATTAAAGTTTGAATTTAATTTTTTATATACCTAATATATATAAACCTATCAGAATATTGTATACAAGAAACTATGAACAATCAATTTTTCAGTATCTAGTTTAAATTAAAAACTTAGAATGAAGTAGAATAATTTGCTATCGAAAATTTAATAATAACCAATAGTTACATAAAAATTAAGTTTCCCGTAAATTGTATTCACGTACCGTTACTGGTTGGATGGCTTCTTCATGCAAAATAATATTATTATTATTTATCTAAGTAGGAACTCTTTGTGAATGCTTATTATTGAAAACATTATTGTTTGTATTTTCTTAATCACTTATGCTTATTGTACTACAAGCGTACAGAGGATATAATTTTCTTAAGTATATGTTGTATGTAGTTATATTGCAGTTAAAAAACTACATAATCATCTTCTTGCTCGAAATATACGCATCTATATTTTCCAATGAATATTACATATTTACTGAGGTCTGAAACAGTAATTCCTGTTACAGTGTCATTATGTTAGTGTATGTTATTGTAATTTCTAATAATGGTCGAGAGTTATGAAAAATTTTGTTTATTTAGGTATTATGAATACTTGAATAGATTAATTCATTAATCGATAAATTAATATTATATGACTGGTCTTGAACGATAGTTTGACTGAATTTCCCATCAATTTTTATCATGTTTTCGTCGATCATTCGTCTCTTCTTATTAAATTATGTTTTAAATTGTTTTTTACTAAACAGGTCCGGTCAAAATGTATAAGGTAGACATGACCTATGAAGAGTTTTTAAAGAAAGAACAAGAAAAGTATCCGGAATTGAAATTGAACGATATCGAATCTCTGAAAGAACGAGTGAAAGCAAACACTGAACTGCCTTATGTACGAGGTACGAATGTCTATACAGTATAAACATTTGCTTTAAACGTGATTTGATTATATTATTTTTTAAAAACTTTACTACCTACAGTTGAATAGCTAAAGTATACAACTGTAACGGTCAATGGGTAGGGTAGGAGTTCTGAAAGACTGGGGGAACCGAAAAATGGACCAATAAAGTTAAATTAAAAAAAAAACCTTACAAATATTGGTTCATCACTATTCTCTTCGAATGAGCTTAAGGCTGAAAAAAATAAATTGTCAAACGTGTTTTCCCGAAAATTTCTCCATTCAATCAAATAATTCTGCAGAGTTTTCACAGACAAATTGATCATCTTATTCCTGCACGGCAGTTACTTCGATGTGGACATCGCGTACAAAACCATCGTCATTCACTACAAGTACCGCAAGGATCTGCCTCAGGTATTTGCAAATTATGATCCGACAACAGCAGGAATAAAAAAAGTATTCAATAGCATGTGAGTAAAAACCGTTTCATTTTCAATCGCATGAGTACACGTTTAACAATGAAAATGCTGAAATGTTTCGGGATCAAGTTAAAAGTATTCAGCAGAAAAAGATAAGCCATCTCCTAGGGCGTCCGCAGGGAGGGGGCTAGTAGGGGAATCTGCACCCCCCTTGAATTTTTCATGGGTTAGCACTCACCCCTGTACTTGAAAATCTAAGTATTTTGTGTGTAAAAAAATTTCTATCCCCCCCCCCCCCCCCCTAAGACAAATTTCTAATTACGCCACTGTACCCACTATGGGATTATGTATATTTATCAGCATAACGATTATGCTAATTACTTTTCGATTAAATTTAAATAATATAAATGCCCAAACGTTGATAGACGGTAGGCACGCGCGCCGGTGAATACGATATTCCCGTTTCGCGTCGTAAGATATTAATATTATAATCGTGTATCACGCCGTTATCACCGATACGTACAAGTTTATCAATATTCGATAGTAACAATGATGTTATCACCGTTTACCGGATACGATTCATTACTCATCGCCGATCTGCTATTGTTGTGTGCTAATATAAAATACTGCCGGTGAACTATAAGTAAATCAATTTAAGAAAAACAAAAACGCTTTTGCCCGCGTACGATTTGGACGTCTGTGGTTTTTTTTTTAACAGGATGTGATGAATTTTTACCGTTCCTGTTTTCGATTCGGTCTCACGCGCGATCGTCCTACGTAATTTCAACTCGGAACAATAGGTTTGCGCGTCGTCACCCCGTTCGATCCAAGTAAGTTGGTTTTCGATTATTACAGTTCGTATTTACGGGTTGTTTCTCGGTCGACAGTTTGTTTTCCTCTTTGTATTCTCAGAGCCTTTTGTCGTCCACTGCTTTAATTAGTAATTAGTTAATAAGTATTCCATTCAACTGTTCACAGGGCGTATGTTAATAGAAAACAGAAATGAACGAAGACAAATATAGCAGCCCTAGTAATCGGATTGCATCCCTTTCGGTAAGATTTCTATTTTCTTTCATTGTAGTCTTCTGATGATTAATTGTATTCATTATTATTTCTAGATAATGTTAAACAGAATTTTCATATCAAATTATTTATCTGTTGTTTGCAATCCACACACTGTTAATTAACATGATTTACTTTGCTTTTGGATAATTAGTGAGCATGTTTATTTTTGAAATTATTGATTATTATAAAATGTATTGTTTGCAGTGTGCAGTTCAAAGTTAAGAAAACAGTTACATGTAATGCAAACAAATGATTATGGTTGTAATTGATAATTGTATGGACATTATGTAAAATCTGTATTGCATGTGTGTAATATGTATTACATAAAGATATACACAGACTAAGATTTGTAATAAAAACATGTTTATATGTAGAGATAAATGTATCTTGTCTTCATGGTGCAAAAAAGGCAGTAAATATGAAAACTACTGAATGTAGGCATATATTGAAATTATTTTCTTGGTAAAAAACTTGATGCGCATATAAAATGTATTAAATATGCAATAAACAAGCTATTTTTACTTGTTCATATTATAATAATTTATATTTTTGTCGATTATTTATTTATTGTCGGTTATAATTTAGTAGTTTTAGATTATAGATAATTTATTGATACTAGTTTTTACTGTTATACCAATGAATGATATAAAATAAAATATTGTATATGGTTTTAATGAAAAAATTCTGCATTGTTAAAAACAAATGAAAGAACATGTGAAATAAACAATTACGATTTTTATCAAAAATACTATTTATTTTTCCCAATCCTATGTGAAATAAATTATAATTTGATGAGTACTAATTACTATAATTCATGTTGGAATGTTATAAATTTGTTAAAATTCATCTTATAATTTAGTATATAAAATAATGATATTTATTTTATCAACATGAATTGATATATAATTAAATGTCTAGTTTAGGTGTGACGAAAATTATTTGGGTTAAGTGCCAAATTTTCTAAGCAAGGTTTAGAAAATCGTTCACATGCCCAAAAGAAATTATATTTTCTAAGGATAAAAATAAAATTAAAATTTTATCACATTATTTTTATTAAGTTGGTACATATCTTTTTTGTTGTAATTTTGTAAATAATATTTTATTAAATATTTTTAAATTTGATAATTCTTATTTAATTATTTTATGTTGCTTTTTGGTAGATAAAGTTTTAATGTCAGAAATTTACTTTATCATTCTTAGTGAAATACAATTAGCAGATATTAATGCATTGGTCAAAGCATTTCTTTTCTATAATTTATTTAAATTTATTATGAAGAATAAACTTTCACAAGCATTAGTTGAAAAAATTGAAAGTTTGGGGAATATTATCAATTTTAAAATGTATATAATTTGTTTCTTTGAATTTCTTATAACTGTAATTTTATAAATAGAATAATTATTTTTATGTACAATTTTAATAATTTTTATTTTTGTATGCCACTGAAATTTGATCATTGTGCCATAGGTTTGCCATCCCTGCTCTAGTTTAATGTATAAATACAATTTTATAAGTGCATGAGTACTAAATATTTAATGTCAATAATAATTTACTAAAAAAATGTAGTATTAAAAATAATTCCATGGTCAACTGAACAAAATTTGTTAGTATGTTTTAAAGTTGTTTGATGAATTTTATACTATTTTGTATTCATGTTAATTTAATATTCAGTACAATTTTACAAACATTTTTAAAACTTAATCATAGTTCAAAATCAGTGAATTTAATTTAGTATAATAATATTATAATTATAATGTTATAAACATTTTGATAATATTTTTATCAGATCTGCTAAATGTAACTGACACGAGTAGTAAAGTAAAGTGAATGAAAATCTGGTGAAAAAAATTAAATCATTTATGGAAAATATTGTAAAGCGTCAAGTTGCACTTTTGTGAAATGATATTTTAAGTTTCCTTGAATAATTACAGTAAATTATGCAAAACTTTAATAATAAGTAAACCTATAGAATTAACTAATGCTATTGTATTTACTGTGAAAAAATGTGTATATTTTTAAATAAGGTACAAATACAAAGTTTTAACATCTTTTACACAGGTATTATTGTAATTAGTATAGGTTTTTCAACATTAGTTTTTTGGAATAATTTTCTACTTTACTTTATATTTCTTACTATTATTGTCTACATTCTATGTTCACAGTATTATTTATGATGGTGTATATATATACTATGATCATTCTGATTTTGAGAAACTTCTTCAATAGTAGTAATAATTGGTATAATAATGACTTTTCGTAATTCCAATAATGTGGCTTATTGGGTGATTTTAGAGAATAAAAATATATATTATTGTGGCACAGGAGAAGTTTATTTTCGCCTGTGTAAATAAGTGCAAACTTTCGATATTTATTTTATAAAACTCATTGAGTACTCATACATTTTAAGTATAAAAAGTTAAATAATACCGATTTTTGAAGTTAAATATTGAATATTGAAAATTGTTTCCAATACAGGTTTATATAGATAAACTTCTCTCTTACAATATTAATATTCAGTAATCCTTATGCCAGACACCGTTATTTTTCATTTTACTCTTATAGTTTGGGCATTTATACTATTTTAAAAAAGTTAAGGAGATAAGGATGAAGCATATTTCATCGGACACGCATATCATGTTATTTTCAATGATATTATTAATATATTTGATTGAATTTTGGTTAGAAATTGTTTAGATTACTTTTATATAATGAGTATTGTAATTTGAATAGATTTATTTATTTATTTTTTTTATGTTGGTTTTGCAGGTCCATCTGCTTATTGCCGAATATCTATACTGACAAACATGAACGTTTCATTTACACTAATTTTAAAAATCCCGACCCTCGGGAATACGATTTCATACAAAGTGTCAGGTATTTTTTCATGATGTTGGAATACATGCTGGAAACAAATGGTTCGTTTGACGGTTTAGTTGTCACTCTGAATAGCTTAGGGATGAATTGGCGACACATCACCATGACGCCGATGAATACAATGAAGAAGTTACTAGGATTCGTACAAGTACGTAGAACGGACACATTATTATTTTACGATTTTCTCCATTATTTCTTATATATTAACAATACGTTACAGAATGTATCCAGGTTGATGATTATCCGATGATATTCGTATTTGCTTGTATTTGAATATGATCGTTGTCCGTCGATTAAAATATGTAAAAATCAACAACATATTGGTAGAGTCGATTGCGGATAAGTAAAATATATAGGTGCTAATCACTGTAATTTATCCCCAGATTGTGCGGTGACCTTGATATTTTAATATGATACCTTTTTCGTTTTCGAATTCAAGGGCAGATTTGTTGCCTCATTAATTTCGGTACAATAGTTTGACTTGACCACAATTTTTCCTCAGGGGAGAAAACTGAGGAAACCAGTGTCAAATTCGTCTTTCATTCTTAACCTTATCACTGCTACGGACGTACTATTACGTCGCATGCAAACATACCGTTCCCTGCTACGGACGTACTATTACGTTCCTTTATCTATAAAACGAAATACGCAGGTTATCACATAAGTGATTATACCAAATAATGCAGAAAAATTAAACGAATTTAACGGTATAAAAAAAACATTTCTATGTTCATCGTGGTAGCAATGAAAATTAATTTAACTTATTATTTATTTCAGTGGTTACTAAAATGACGCTGTTGTGTTCTGTGCGCGTTATCTGTAACCAGTTTACTGCTATAATAATTATAATTATGCGGTTCCTACGCTAGGTTTCCTAGTTTGGTTACCCCTGGTCGTATAAACTTTAAACTTATAATTCAAGCCAATATATATATATTTTTTTTTTTGACTTCAACATATCGTTCAATTTAACTAAATTAATCAATTAGGAACATTAAAAAAAAAAAAAAAACACACAAAAATAATTCAGCAGAGATGAGTATTTTAGAAAAAAAAAAACTTAGCAGTGAAAAGGTTAATGCAAGAATCTACAACTCTTATCTAGATAAATTCAAGTATTATACTTATCAAATACTGTGTTAATTTTTCCTGGTCATGGATAAATTATAGTAAATTTATATACAAATGTAAAGTTAGACGAGGGCTTGACTTTATAAAATTTTTCGAATTGTGTTGGAGTCGACAAGACAAAAATAAAAATTGTACTCATAAATACGAGCACTCGATTTTACTCGACTTGAATTAAGTTCTAGAGTTTATTTCACTACTTTATTGAAAAATAGATGTCAAAACTATTAACAATGGAGACCTAAATATTATTGATGGAAAATATCGAAAAGAGAAATTGTTTCAATTAATAATAATATACCGTTATTGTTTTGATATTTCTCAAGTACTCGGAATTTTTTGAGTACTCGGATTTTGAACTCGGTTCGACTCGACTTGACATCAAAAAACAATACTAGTAGAACTCTAGAAAAATCTTTAATTACACTCTCAAAACTTCAAAGATATGCAACACAAATTATAAGTAGTATCTTTGATTTCAAAATATTGTTTTAGAATAATATAATAACTACTCATATCATAAAATCAACGTTAGTGTATGTTTATGAACTGTTCGTTTATACGTAGTGTAAAAGTGTTCATATTTAACTTTCCTAAATTACGGACCTATACTCTAAATTTGTATTCTGGTTCGGCGTAAGTCCATGCCTGTCGAGGAGACACAATATTTTTGATTTCTATGATATGCTTTAATATAAAAGTCTTTATGTCGAAAAGATCGGTTTATATGAAGTTCGCGTCGAAATTAGATGTGTGACGCATGGCAATGAATTTTTTTTGTACGTCATTGGGCGTTAGTGGTTTGATTTAAAGCAGTGGTTCCCAACTGGAGTGCCGCGAGCGCCCTTTAAATGTGCAACGATAAATCTATAAATTGTTTTATGAGTATGTATTTACTAGCTTTTTTTTTGATATTCGATATGAAAACTGATCGAACTAATCGTAGATACATATAATATTATTTATTAAGTATGCCCGTCGCGGCCGTCTTAATCGATCGATTGTAATAATATATTTCATAATAAATAATCCTCTAATAGAGTAGACTGCTGTAAATAGTATACATACATATCATATATATAAAAAAATATGGTTCACATGATTTATGGATTGGTGTGCCGCGAAAATTTTGTTGGAGATGAAGTGTGCCGCATTGTTAAAAAGGTTGAAAACCACTGATTTAAAGTAATGTTTTTACGTTCGGCCTACGCGACGATTACAGAAAATCGTGATTAAAACTCAGCTCGTTTCCGATGTACGCTTAAAAAGAACAATGCAGACGTCAACTGCTGCTGCTTGACGTCAACTGCGAATCAGAATTTATTTTTATTTTTTATAATTATTGTTAATATTAATAATATTAATTTTTATGTATGTTTTATTTACTTATTATTATTAATTATATTCTTATTATTATTATTATAATTATTACTTATTATTTTATACTTCAAATAAACTCGTGGTTTACGAGTTAATAATTCAATGTAAAATATATCATAAAAGAATTATTTTAATCGAGTGAGAATTTGGTTATCTAATGTACAGACCGAAATGAAAAAAAATGATTTGGATTTTACTTACCAGTTACTTAACCCATGTTGAATGTGAGCGATCCATCGCTGGTTATGATAATTATTAAATACCGTGAAATTTGTAAAGCGTACATAACAGTTTAATTTTGGAACGATTTAATATCAAGTGTTTTGATGCAACGTTGTAATCAACTTTTTTTTTCTCTGCGAAGATCAAAACAAGGACACCTGAACACTGTTTACGGTGGTTAAAGAAATGTTTTATAATTACAAGAAAACTGTGTGTTAGCCACTGATCCAAAGTTTGGAGATAACGTATATTATCGTTCCGCCAAAAATCCAAAACTATTCGTTAATCGTAATACGCATTATCATTAATCGGCTATGTAAGGTTATACATTATGTACTAGTTTAATGATGTTAACCTTAATGTCATATAATATTGTTTAATTAGTACCTACAACACATTATAAAAATAATAATAATAATAATAATAATAATAATATAAATATAATTATAATTTATAATTCATAAATTATATTATAATAATAGTATAATATATATTATAATATTTTCTTATTGTACTATTGAAATTGGCCTGAAATTATAATGAAGAATTCAGTGTTGGGGTCGATATATTATTTAATTAGTTATGTGTACTGTGCATATACATTAATAGAAAACCTTGAAATCTTGTTGTGTCTCATTAAAAGCTATTTAAAATAAATTGTATTATTCTATAATAAAAATAACTTTATAATTAATGTAAATATCAATAATCATATTCTCCACTAAATTTCCGCAGCCCAATAGGATACGAAATCCAACATGCAGCCATATTTTTTAAAAATATTTTAAGAATTTCTAAAAAATATAAAAAAATATTGATAATATTTATGATTTGTGCATTAATATTTGCAGGATGCTTTACCGGTGCGGCTGAAAGAAGTTCACGTTTTAAACGCTGGTTCGATGATGTCTGTGTTGTTCAACATAATTAAACCATTTATGAGAAGTGGTTTAATGAGTATAGTAAGCTTTTTAGTAATTTGGTTGAGTAATATGATTTTACCAACAAATATTTTAAAGATTATTCAGATTTGTTCGAATATATTTATTAACTTTATTCAATTACGTTTTTTCTGCGATTACATTTTCATATACTTCATCTGAAATAAAATTGTATTTAGATTTAAAATTGAGCACAGGTTGTACTACGACATGTTATAATTTTCGATTTGTTCAGTAATTCTTCTAATACGGAAAAAAAATCTGAAAAATTAACTTACATTTAGTTTCACTCTACATGTTCATTTATTATTTATTTTTATAAGAGAAGATATTTTTAGGTTTTATTGTTTGAATATATTGTATAAGTTATTAAAGTTATCTTATTAAAAATTTAGAAGCATCAGTTAATTTTATTTTCAAAATGGTTAAAGTTTAAATTATAGTATATTAATTAATTTATTATGTTTGTAGGTAAAATGAGTACTGTAATTTGTATTGATTATAAATTTAATATTATATAAGAAGATACGTTTCAAAATATCAATAATGATAAATATATAGGTACATATTATCCCGAGCATAACTGCTACCAAATTCCTAACAATTTTTTATTGACTTCTTACGGATATACGTATAATAAATTATTTAATTGGTTTTGTAAATTGTTATAATGAGTTAAAGGGAAAACTAGTATTTATAAATATATATTGGCTTGTGTGACCTTCGTGTGACTATTATTTCGAATGCAATGATTTTTTTCAATGGATATGACTAAAACATCAAAGGACTTTATCCTAGAACTGGTATTTTACTGGTCTTAATTTTTTTTTTTAAATATAATAATAGCGTAGTTTAATCGTCACGAAACAAGAGTGTTATTTTAGTTACTAAATATATTTTACCATATTTAAAAGTAATTAGTTATTCGTATCTTTTTTAGTTCTTTAAAACTCAAAATTCATATTTTTATGTTCCAGTTAAAACTACACCCAGAAGGCTCGAAAGACATATTCAATCATGTACCGATTGAGTTGTTACCGACTGAAATAGGAGGCACAGGAAAGTCACACTATGAGTATAGCGGTAATTAAAAGTTTATAAATTACTATATAACTATACTTAATCGACAATCCATTTGGTTTAACTTATTATTGTGCGGTTTTGCAGAAGACACGTTGAATGAAATGGTGTCTGTTCGCGATTGGCTGTTCTCTCTTGACTCTGAATTATGTCAATAATGTGAAATTATAGTGTTTTAAGTAAAACGTTGCTTAAAACAATAAAATATAAATATATATGACGAAGTCATAATTGGGTAATTATTTACTAAATAATAATATAAATAATATTACTAAATCTTACCATTTAAATATTTTGTTATATCTAAATTTAGATATAGGTATTGTACAACTTATGAATCATTTAATTATAAACTTATAATATGCTAATTTATTGTATGTAATATAATTAAATAATAATATCAATAAATAATATTTTTATTACATTTTTGATTTCTAAAAATATATTTCTGATTTTAACATTTCTTATTACACTCAATTTTATATTTTTATTGTATTATAATATCACTATAATACTTATACTAATAATAATAATAATAATAATGATTAATAATATTAAAAAAACAATTGATACCTACTTAAAAAATATACTACTTATATAACTCAATTAAGATCAATAGTTTATTGTAGTTTTCTGTAAGAGATTACAAGAGTTTGAATTAAAATATTATGGTAAAATGGTTTTAGTCTTCTATTAGTACAAAATGAAATGTGTGTCTTATAATATGGTACATTACGTTTTTTTTAAATGTCATCAACGATAAAATACTGATAGTAAGTTTGTACACGTGAGAATAACATTAGTTATTTATCACTTTAATATATTAATATTATTAGATATTTTTTTTTATACATACAGGTATATATTGTAGTATATACTAATTTATGATAAATAAAGAAAGCGGTTAAAAAAAATTAAATAATTTAAATATTTTTTCTTGTGCGCGGAAATTGTTAAAAATAACGATTTAGAAAGGGTGTTTAATACTTTATGTATAACAATAAACTTTAAAATTTTTAATATATGATTAAATGTATTTAATAATATCTATTTAAAAGTAAAAATTGACTTGAAGTCAAAATTATCTTGTGTTAAGGTATAGTGTTTACCGTAATTTCCTCGAAGATTACAGTGAAAAATATGAAATGATTTATAGATAAATTTATTCAAGTGCATATAAAACCAATTCTTCGGCCTTCGATTATTATGTTTGGATACTCGTTTGGTAGGATTTTACGTTACCTTTTACATACTAAACCTTCCAACTGTTTAAATATTTAAATATTTCTATGTCACTAGTATAGGTGGCGTAAATTCAGTTTTTTTTTTTTAATAAAGATGCTGCATGCTCTTAAACCTCTTAATCCTTAACATCAAATCCTCTCATGTAAGGGCACCTATTAATTTGTCGACTCAATTGCTCATTTGACCAAAGTACCGATTAACGTGAAGTGAGAGGGCCATCAAACCAGTTAAAAATATAATGATTTATACTTCGTACATAAATACTCATATAGTACACAGCTCTTCTTTTTGATTTTCAATACAATGGCTTTATAAAAGACGTAATTATATTTTGATAATGTGCAACTTTGACAAACCTAAATTCTAGACTGTAACAAATGCACAAGCCCCCCCCCCCAATGACGCCATTTTATGTACATACATTTAATTAGAATTTTTTTTTCGCTTCAAAAATTACATATTTGAAAATGTTCAAGTTGAATATTGGGCACTATACAAGGTTTAATGTAGGTATTCAAATATTAAATGTTATTCATGTTTATGTTAAAGTGGAATGCCATTACATGATAACTGATAACTTTACATATTTTAAGTACCAACGTGCTGTGAATTTATCATTTGACCATTTCGGACTATTATAACTTTGACGTGCTTTAATAAAACGTCATTTGTGTATTAAACTTTTACTTCGCGATATAATAAAATAAAAAATCGTATTATCACTTATGAATTGATGTTCTTGAATAATGTTAACGGTTCTAAATTACATTTATTATATGGTTATACCAAGGGTGTATTTAATTTGAGGCCATGGGGGGGGGGGTGAAACTAATTTTTCTTCAATACAAACTTAAAAATTATTTACAGTTTATAACAGGGGCGTACTCAAGGGGGAGGTTCTGGTCCGGACCCATTCCATTGAAATTTCTATATACTCAAAGGTTTAATAGTAAATAGTACCTACGTATATTTTAATTTCCCATCATCTTCAATATACAAAGTTTAAACATTATATAATATATCTATAATGTATAAACCATGTTTAATTTATACTGCTTTTTTAATATTATTTATTGTTGTTAGTTAAATTATTTATTTTTTTTCTAACATTTTACTACTAAATAAAAATTGATTTCAATTATAGTACCTAGCTATTATAGTAAACCTTTGTGAAAAATATGTGTGATGTGTGTATAACTATTGTGACTATTATTAGTTATTAACAGTAATTTTTTGGCATTGAATTAAAATATAATTATAATTAGAGGACAGATAAAATAAAAATTTTGGACTCCCCCCCAAAAAAAAAATTTCCTAGGTATGCCACTAGTTCATTACCTACAGCTCATGTTCCTATTTTTCATTCGAGTGAATAAATAAAAATACAAGTACCAAATTGAATTAATATTTATTTAATAAATATATTTAAAACCTACTGTATATAAAATAAGTATTAATAATAACAATACAAATAGTTCTTATATTAAAATTGTATCTTCAGTTTGAATTCTGTATAAAAAAAAACAACAAATAATCATAGTAGTAATAGTACCTATTAATTATTTTTTAAAAACTTTAAAAAAAATTAAGATAAGTAACTTAATTTAACAAATATCTAAGTAGAAAACATAAGATTGGTAAGTAGTCAAATAACAAATTTCAAATTTCCTTTTTTTCATTTTGACAAATTTGTTGATTGTTTCAACAATTGATACAATAATATTTTTATGCACATGCAGAAATGCCAAACCTGTTAGTTTATGCTGGTCTATTTTTGATCTCAATCATATTTTCAATTTACGAAAACATATTTTGGCCAAAATTTGCAAGTTAAAGAATATGGAAACAAATATTATCTGTTATTATGATTATTATTCGGGTTAGAGGCTTCTAGCTCTATAAAATACACAAAATGCACATGTATTTTTGCACAAAAATGACTAAATACCTATGCACAACAAAAAGTAACAGATACTATGCTGTAAAAAAATATAGGGCAGTAAAATTATTAAGGACTTTTATAGCTCTAATAAATACAAAAATATACAATACAAATATATAAATAAATGCACCAAAAAATGACTAATTAATAAAAATGTGGTAATAAAAGTGTTATTTTAAATTACTTTATATTATCTGATAAATAACTCGGTTATGGTTGTAAATGTCTATAACCGTAGCAATATCCGTGGAAGATAATACCAATATTCGGTTCACAAACAAAAATGTTATGATGTTATGATATATGAAGATAAACAAAAATTGATACCCGTGATCAAATTGAAATATTATTGAATTTATTAGGTATCATATTATAATGATAGACTAGTAATTTATATTACTAATTATTTATATATTAAAATTTTTAAATAAATCAATGTATTATATTAAAAAAAAATACAAGCCATGGGGGGGGGTATACGCCCCTTCACCCCTTCAAATACTTGGGTTATACGCACGTAAAACGTGAAAATGAAATGATTGCATTGCAATTTTTCTTATTTTTACGTGATTTAGAAGAAAACAATATTGTAAATGTTTATCGATTCATGAAACCCATAATCTTTAAACATAATTTAACAAATTATTCGCAAACGTATGTCGTGTTATTTTACTTCTGAATCAATAAATAAAACAAACTGTGTATACAGTATGACCTATAAGTCTCGTATCACCCTTCATATCGCCACGGGAAATCAATATGTTTAAATGCGGTTTTTTTTTACATTACTTAGTATGGGAATTCTGATTGAATGGCATAAAATTCAATTTTTTTAAAAAAAAATTAAAAAATAATTTTTTATGCATTTAAGAATTTTCCATTTTTAAGATAGCCATTTTCTTGAGCATATTTTTTAAAACAGTTCAAAAAAAAAAAAAAATATTTAAATTGAATAAAAATTAACCAAGTTGGAGCAAGTTATGTTTTTGAATAATTATAATAATAATTGTTAGCCAGAAAAACACGAATTGCTCGATTTAATCAATCTTAATTGGAACGTTGATTTTTTTATGGCAATCTGTAAATATCTAATTATTAGTAGAACTTTTAGGAAACATTTCCCGTGGAAATATTAAGGGTGATACGGGACTTATGAGACATACTGTATAATTAGGTATACCTCTAATTTGGATGTGTTGAGATTTGAACTTATTAGTACAAGTAATTACTTTTTAATAACTACGAGTATATAGAAATATAGTAAATCTAGCCAAAAACTAAAATCCAATTGTGTAATATTTTATTAACATGATACTAGGTATAATAATGTTATGAAAACAAAAAAAATGTGTGATTTAAATTCTTAACGTTTTTTTTTTTTTTTAATTTTTCAGGTCCGTTATTTTGGAGATTTTCTAGACGAAATATTTTCGGAAAAACATTATACTGATTGTTATAAAGCAATATATAAATTTAATTTTATAATATAATCATACCTGTACACAGTTATTGATATTTTATGTTTTGTAAATCGATAGTATTTTATCGAATTGCCAAAACTTTATAAAAATTAAGAATTTAAAAACAAATTGTACTTGCTAAAGCAGTGCTAAAAAATAAAATCATATTTAATTGAATGGTTTTAAATACATATGAAAAATAAATCAACGTACCTATTTGAATTAATTACACATATATTTGTTTCATAATAATAAGGAAAAACATTTCTTAATTTTAGCTATTAAAAAATGATTGTTTTGATTGATTGTTATACTGAAACTCTTCATGGAGATAATTTGTATACAATTTTCAGCATCTCGAAATTTATTGAGATTCTTAGATAAGGAAAACCCAAGGACAAGGCGTATTCATTTGAATTCTATTAAAATTTCTTATACATATATATATATATATATATATATTTAGTTTAAATACAGACTTGTTTACAAAACAATTTTACCATGAAGGTTGTACGAGTTTAATATTATGAACGGCGTGAACCCTGGTCGCTGAAATATTTAGAGTACACTGTATATAATTATTTTACTGCGAACGAGTTTTTCGGGTATAACAGAGGAACTAAAACGATAATCCTTCTTCCTTATCCTTGTCTACTCTACCAACTGTATGCAGGGTTTAGCCGCTCTTGTACATTTTTTTCACACGATCACGTCCATCCCGTCTCTTGTTCACATTTACCAGCTACATCCTGGATGTAACATCCATATGCCAATACGCCACCTTTGTTTTCTTCACCTCCTTTTGTCTTTAACCATGTTAATATTCACTCATTGTCTCGTGTCCATATAAATATTATCTATCCTGATCGAAAGAACTTAACTACTGATTATTTATGATATACGTATATGATACGAAGATATATATATATATATATATATTGTTATATTACATATAAGCGGTTATATATATATCTACCGTGTAATTGTTCCATATTGTTCACAATGGATTGTTCTGTACCATTATCTAAACTGATAAAGAACGTTTCATATCAAGCAGTATGATTGGTCAAGTATCATAATTTATCAATACCATTCTTAGAAATTAAATGTCAACTGATTGTCGCTAACGATTTTTAATGCCATAAGTTATGTTATCTATAAAATGGAAGAATCTGTTATACCGATGGTGTTACTACCAATTTCGGGACAAGTAGCCAAGTTCGAGCCAAATCCAAAGAAAAAAATTTTTTTTATTCATTATTATGGACGTTGTATGAGTTTGACTTGATTCAGTTGATTCAGATAATAGAATAGCATTTGATTTTTTCGGTAATATTCAGTTGATTTACTCATTTATTGAAGTCAGTTCTTCCGGACACGGTATTTTGGAAAAAATTGCTAATAGAATAAATATAAAACCTAAAAAGTCATTATCAATAACACGATGTGTTTGTCGTGCTGAGGATTAATAAAATTAATGATAGAACAAAGAAAACTGACATAAAAGTTAGGTATACATTAGGTGTATTACATCAAATGAAAACGTTGGATTTTATATTTGCAATTCTCATGTTAAATAATATTCGAACTTTGGTTTTAAAAGTAATTATTTTAAGTGTGTATTTTCAGTTTTAGGGTATACATTTATCCAACTGCTGTTGAACTTGTTACCACTATGAAACAATTTTTATTAAACAATAAAACAAATTTTCAAGATATTTATAAAAAAAAACTGTTCAATTGTGCAATGATAATAATATTTACGTATCAGATATTAAAATAAGAAGAAGAATTTCATTTAAAATTGATCCGTCATACAAAATGCAATGCATAACGAATGATAAAGAACAAGAAATGAAAATCTTAATATTTTTTTCCATGTTGAATTGAATGATAAATGGCATTGAATTAAGATTTAATCGAGAAACTATTAATATGGTTTAGTGTATCGTTCATTTTATACAGTAATGTTACAAATTTGTCCAAGATATTTTAATTTAATTTAAATAAGTTAGAGGCTGAGATTTGTTTAGTTAAAACAAATTATTCAATAAGTAAAGAAAAAATGAATACATGTAAAAGTTGGATAAAGTGGTTGGCTGATTCTAAAAGAGATTTCATATATAAAATTATATATCAAGAATTTGTAACTATCCCAGTTACAAGTTTTTCCTGAGAGAGAAATTTATCGAAGTTGAATTTCATTAAAACAAAAAATAGAAGAATAATCTTTCAAGGTTGCTTGGAAGCATTGTTAGTAATAAGTATTGTACAGGAATCTGTCTACAATATTAATATTGATGACGTAATTCAAACTTTCAAAATACCAACACCTATGTATAGGCTTATGGAATTGTAAAAATAATTTTTACCTATTTTATTATTTATTATTTTTATACTTATTCATTAAATTATCTAGGTGTTTACATATTTAGATAAGAAACTAACAGACGTTTACATTTTAGTATTATGAGAAGTTACCAATATTTTTGTAGTTATATATTATGTCAAATAATTAAAAAAAAAAAAAAGTCCCAATAGTATAATCTATATTCTTATCTTTAGATTTAATTAAAATTGTTTGAATATCTTGATTTTTCCAGAAAATTAACTCTTGTTTGGACGTTGCGTCATTACCAATTGAAGTCGTGACTTGAAGCACTAACTAAAACATAATATGAAGCTCATCAATAGATATTAATTTAAATTCATTAAATGTAATATTTTTTTTTCTCAAAAATCTAAAATTAGAAGTTGTAATAAATTCGAAGAAATAATCAAAAACGCACGGGAAAATAAGTTGCTATGGACTTTTCAAAAAATATTCAAAATGTATGAGTATAATCCATGTAATTGTTGTAGTGTGTAAAAATGAACATTAAACAACGATATAAAAACTTATTGGTTAACCTTGATATATCTAATGCGCTTAATTTTACATGAATATATGTATATTTAACAGGTGTTATGAATACAACATTAAATATATATATATATATATATTTTTTGTTGTTAATTGACGTACAAGGAAACTTGTCCACCATAAATTTTGTATTCAGAGAATTACTCGTGCATTTATTTAATTAACCCTTGGGTTAATTCAATATATTAATGGTGTCTGTTGAAAATATTTAATTATTTCACTATGTAATCTTTGCGTAATTATTTTTGTAAAGTGTGCTCTAAAAAGTGGAAAACCTGAGGACTAAATAAGGAAAAAAAAAAGAAAATATCTAAAAATAAAGTTATTTTGAAAAAAATAGAAATTATATAATAATCAATTAATTTTCTTGCAAATAAAAAAATTTAAGAAATACGATTTTATTTATTTATAATTGGTTTATTATATATTTATGGTTGGTTTTTATTAAAGCTGTTTATTTTAATTATTGGATAGTAATGTTAAAGATGTATGTAAAAAATAATTTTCTAGGTCCTAAAATTGTAATTGCCTAGGGGCTCACAAATGTTTAATCCGGTACTGTATACAACAAAGACTAACGAGAAAAAGCATTTCTCTATTTCAATATCTCATTGCAAATCATTTTTGCAATACGAAATTAATATCGACTGACGCGTTTAACTATGGCATTAACATTGAACTATGTAGAACTACTTATTTGATTTTTGTAATAATCAACATTTATATATCAATAATAATAATAATAAAATACACATATTATTTTGTGTTTAACTTCTAATTAAACTTAGGTATGCATTTATATCACGTTTATTAATTATGATACGAGTCATTAAAGTTAACTGAGCACGTGGGTTTGAAAAGCATATAAACTAAAATGTAATAGCACCGAACAAATTATGCAGATTTGTCGTTCGTATACAAACATTACGTGCTTTTTAAACGAGCCATTAAACGAGTGTCATATTCGCAAACGTTGAGTCGCTACGCGAACGACTTATCATGCGTTTTATCTACGAGTATTTTACGTTTTATACTCTCAATTATACGAATCTTTTACCGTTCCGTTGATTATTTTTTTGACTTTTAATTTTTTCCTTACTGTACACACTTATGGGGCAGCACTATTCGAGAACCATTCGGTTCCGGGTAACACGAAAACGTTCTCATAAACATCAATCCAACCGGACCAATGGTTTTTGATGATAATTCGATTTCGTCAACCGATGCGATTATCGTCGAGTGCCCAGACAAAAGGTGTTCTATCCGCACAAACGTTGCAATACACCAAATTGTGATCACGACGCAATAACGTTGTTCCGTTGAGAGATATTCAACGGTTGGGATCGTCGTCGGAATTCGAATCGCAACGACGGTCGTATTCGACAAGTCGGTAAAATCGTGCGCACGCAAACACGTCGGACCATTGTTCGTGGTCCGCACGAATAACATCGACTTGAGCGTTGCGACCTTGTCCTTCCGCGAGCGGTTCCGTTGCACGTGCCGAACACATTCGGTTCGCTAGTCGTCGCGCAGTGCTCGTCGAACGATAATCTCGCGACGGCAAGAAGCTTAACGCGCACCGGTACGTTTGACGGCGTTTTACACCGAGATATATTTCGCTGCTCGAAAGCCGCCCGACGTCAGTTCGGTCCTCGCGAGTCGCGATAGTATCGCGTTTCAGAAAACCGATATTGTGCGTTAGCGTTCGGTTTCGTTCTATTTTTTTCCCCTTATCCTCCGCTGGTCCACGGATCCTGCACGGTTTGGTGTTGTAGTGTTCGAGACGTATCCCGTGCCCGCGCCATGTATTCCCCGTCGACTCCGTTCAACGAGTACCTGGAGGTCGAGCAAGCCAAATACCCTGAGCTCAAACTCGACGACATCGAGAAGTTAAAAGAGTCTCTGGCCGACGATCAGACGTTGCCGCCGATATCAGGTCAGGTCACCTCAGGTCTCCGTGGGTCTAACCGCTGCAAGCGCTATACGTTTTTAATAATGTTCACGGGACAGTGATAGTTCATCACGTGTCCCGATAACAGTAAAAAAAAAATGTCACTAGAAAACCTTCATCGTTTAAAAATTGTACAACGTTTTATTTTTTCCATTTGGATAAGATTTGAGAAATAAAAAATTTAAAACAAAATTATGCGTAGAATTAGCGACCGTCTAAAGTTTCCCGATTGTACAGGCTATGTTGCAGAAATAAACGTATTGCTTGTTAATACACGTATCGCGGATACAACGAGTATACTTGTATAATTACTACGTTTCGGTACCTTTGAAATATTAAGTACATATTTTCCGACGAATAAAAATACAAGGAAATACTGTCTTTAAAAAAATGTTAATATACCATTTCTGATTAACCTATTAGTATTTATGAAAAATAATATTAATTATATATTATTACCCGGTGGAATACGAACGCGCCCGCCCTACCGTTTTACATGAAAAAAACACAACTCGATTGCGCCCAGCTAATTAACTTGATAGTACCCGGTTTTACCTTTTTATCTGCAAAGAACGCAACACGATTGCCCCCAGCAAATTAGCTCGATAACGCGATAACGCTCTGTGAAATATAAGGTCTTGCCTTTCTTACAATTTTCAAATATACTATTTAAAAATACAGTGGAGTGTAAAACTCAAAGTTTAAGTTAGGATTAACAAATCTGTTAACATTTTAACAATTTTCCATCGAGTATTTATGTTAACAAAGATGTGATAAAAGTTCTTACCGTGCTCAATGAACACAATCACAACATAATTTCTGAAAACATAATTTCCAATTAAAAAAATCGAGAATAAAAAGAAAATGAGAAAACGACTTATTTACGACACCGAATAAAATAATTCGACAAGAACTACATAGCAAAGAAAATTGTCAGTCCTAAGCCTGTAAAATTGGGAAGAAAAATTGTTAAAATGATAATCTAACCAAACTTAAATTTTGAGTTTTATATTCCGACTATATTTTTAAATAGTATATTTGAAAATTGTTAGAAAGGCAAGACTTTATATTTCACAGAGCACTATCGAGCTAATTTGCTGGGTGCAATGGTATTACAACCATTATTACCTTTTTCTGGAAAAAATCGAAATTTTCACGGTTTTAAGGGATATTTCTTAAACGATTGCTGTTATAATCACATAAAAATTAATTTTATTTACCTGTAACTTATATTCTAGTTTACTAGTATTCTTATTTACTAGTTTTACTAGTGTTTTCACATAAAGAAATATATAAGTGTTTAGGTATACAAAGTGTTAACTTATTATTAAAAATTATCAATTATTTTATATTGAATATTGACACGATCGATATATAATAATGATTCAATAAAAATGTAAAAAAATACATACATGTTTCATTATAATAAAAATTCTATTAATTATGTATGATTAATGTCTCTTTTTTACAATTGGGATAATTTTTTTGTAATAATTTACATTGCAATAGAAACTATTTTTGGTTTTCGTCTTTCGTCAGTACTCTTGTATGAATTTGACGTCTCTTTTTGCATCTTCATTCATGAATGATAGTATTTTTAAAATATTAATTATTTTCTGATCGTCTTTTTTTTATTTTCAACCATCCTGGTGAAAATTTATGAATTCGGTTGAAATTGTAAATGTCGAAAAAAAGTTTATCATTTTTAATGCTACAAACTCATGTAATTTTCTTTTTATTAATATTTTATACCCTCTATATTCAAAACAATTTTTTTATCAATTGTATCATCGATGTTCAGTGAAGATTTAGGTGCCTTAATTATTTTCATTTTAAATTTATTTGGCATCCAAAAATCAAAAAATTATAGTACCATATTTTCGGCGAAAAGTACCATAAATGACCACAACATTTACTTATAGCTGTTTTAGAAATAGTTTTATCTGGGTATTCGATTCATTTTTTTAAAAATATAAACTCATTATAAGATGTTTCAATTGCGACAGGATAAGTAAACCATACTTCAACGTATAATTTAACTTTACAATTATACATATATATATATATATATATATTGAAAAAGTGTAAAGATAGCCAAAACAAAATAATCCATATGAAGATATTAGAAATGTACTTTGCGTTTTGGAAATTAATTAAAACCTTGAAATTATTAATTTTTCACATAATTTATATTTATATTATTTTTCATAGAAAATAGATTAACCAGAAATGTTATAATAACATTTTTTATAGGTAGTATTTGAATGTACGATTTAGGTTCTACACAATTTCATGATTAATGCAATATATTTTTAGTTAAAGAAAAAATAAACCTAAAATTACCCTGTTTAGATATATACAACCCTCTTGTGACACGTGAGGGAGTAAGTAATGAAAAAATAAAGAAGTGAGAGATTAAAAGTATTTAATTTTTCCCGCTCACCCTATAACTAAGCGCATGTAATCTGTATTATTATTAAAACTATCAAGTTAACATACTTATATTAACATAATATATATATATTTTTTTAATTTCCTTACGTTTACCTGATACTTACAACAAAACAATCAGTCCAATGCAATTTATACTAAACATTTTTTTTAGAAAATTTGATTTCTAATCTTTCTTAGGATATTTTGTTGTTTCATTAACCGTTACCCCGATGTACTTAAAAAACGTAAAAATTTAAATTTTTTAAAATAAATTAAATATTCGTTATTTTATAATTTTCATATAAAATAATGGATGTATAAAAAATTGTATAGAAATGTTTTTTTTATTAAAAATATAAATATCTGTAATTTAAGTTATGTAAATTCTTAAGCCGCATCCACACTAACGTAATAAAACGACGAACATGTGTTCGCGAACAGGATTCATGTGTAACAAATGGGCAATTCTATCGAACAAATCGATGATCTGTATTTTGACGTAACATCTAGGGATGTTACGCGAACATGTTACGACAGGTATGGACACGTCTTCGAACATTTTCAGGAACACATAAAATTAAACAATTATTATTTATAACCAGTTTTTAAGCTAAGTCAAGTTTAACAATATTACTAATTACTTGTTTTGACATTCTGAAAAGGTACTGCAAACTTGTAAAGGATTCGCCAGCAGCTAAAAATCGAAGTGTAATTGCCAGTCTGTTTTGAACCGATATAGGTTCTCTTCAAATTGTTTCAGTTTTAGCGAATTTCGGCCCAATCAAATTAATAAGCAAACCAAAGTCACTTAACGACATCCTCATAAAGTTTTGAAATTGTCCATTAATTTCTTGCGTCCTTAAATCGTTCAATAACGTATTTCTTCTAAATTTTGATTGCCGAGCAAAAAATTGGGTTTGCCACTATCGTCTTCGTCTTCTATTATTTTTCTCTAGTGTGAGATGAATATAAACATAGGTTGCAGTAGCAATTTAAAGCGACATTACAAGTTTTTATGCTCAGCGATAGATTGAACTACTATGAAGTTATTCAGAAAAGTTATTTAAGTTATATAAGTTAATTTATTGATTAGCTATACGCGAACATGGGTACGTAAACATACACACATATTTTTTAGTTGTTCGGCAGACAATTTGTCAAATAGTTCATCGTTTTGTTACGCTAGTGTGAACGCGGCTTAACGATACATTTTTACAATAAGTTCAATAATTTATTGATTATATTCAAAAAATGACAAACCAAACCTATTTATCAATTTTTTAACACCCTGGCGGCAAGCGAAAGAGGTTAGTAATCATGACCAAATTTAATCTAAATTTCTTTCTTATAATAATGAACAAAATTAGGAGGTGAAAAATCAAGAATTTGAAAGTTCAAAAATAAGGACCACCATAATATATATTGGATCTATAAGAACTAATGTATTAATAATTAATAATAAAATTAATTATTATTTAAGTTATAAGTTTATTTAATTATTAAATAATTTAACGTATTAACTACTTAGGTTAAAATGATTTGAGGATCATAAAAATGTGTATTTTATGTAATAAAAACCAACCAAAAAACTGAATTCAAATTGCAGTTATCTACTCAAAGATATTGAGTGTTCTCAGTTAGCGTTTACACACTGTATATATATATGCAAATCCCTCAACAAAGTACTAGATTTTGATATATTTCATTCGTTTGATAACGATTGCAAGAGTTATAACAATTTCTATATTTACGAAAAGTTCAACTGATAGACATTTGATCGTTATTGATGAAATGCCTCTTTTTAGATTTTAAGATTTGCATTTAAAAAATCATAAACTAGTGGAATTTATAACAAAAATTCATTATGTATATATACAACCAGTAATACATACGACCGACTAAATTTACCAACAAGCAACATCCAAATCGTGAGATTGAATAAATTAATACAAAATCCACTTACCGCAATTGTAATACTAATATGAACTATACATTTTGACATTGGATATAATTTTGCTAAAAGGTTTGTAAGCATAGCGTTATAAAACATAAATAAATATACCATAACGTTGAGTTTTGATTAAAAATATTTTAAATTTGTAATTATTTTCGTGTTAAGTTCCATAATTTATCCTGTCAGCAAACAACATAGTTGATATTTAATTTAAATAATTAAAAGTTCTCTAGAATATCCATCATTAATTATCAATCAATTATTGTTACTCGTTATGATATGTTGTAACACAAAATAATTATTTATTCAAAGTTATCAGATTTCATGTTTGTTTTTAATTTTAAAAATATTATACTATATTTATATTAAAACACGACAGTTTTTACGGGTCATCTAAAGTGTTGTGGAAAAACGGTCGTAATTATAGCTTTTTTCAAATAAGATTTATATATTATAGTTGTTTAAAGTTTAGAGATAGACAGTTTAGGTTATCAGTGTTATCAAAAATGCGTTTTAATTTAATTTGAAGTGTTGAAAATTCAAAAATTATATAAAACTTGAATTCATTTTTTATTTTAATTTATTTTATGTCATGTGTCGAATATGAACGGGAATCGCTTTGAAATGTAAAGAAATTAATGATAATCCAATCATTTTCATTTTGTAACTAAAAAATAATAAACATAATATGGAATCGTTTTATATTGTTTGTGCAAACACATTTATTTTTATTTAACCATTGAAATTTTACATCATATGTTTGAAAATATTTTGTCGATTTGATGCATTTTAAAAATAAGTATTCAGTTTTGAATCATCATATAATTTAAAAAAATGTATTATACTAGTAACAAGCCACATAAAAAATGATAAATGAAGCATTAAGGTACCATTAACTTTATTAATATAAACATTTGTCTGAGTATCTAAAATATCTGTTAACCTATATTATGTAGTTCCCTTATTAGAATAATATAAAATGTTCCACACAATTTTATAATATTTTAGGTAACGTAGAGTATTTATTATATTTACAATCATTATCAATTATTATTTTTATCTTTGTATAACTTGAGGAAGGGATTTTTGGGGTGTGACTTCCTCCTGAAGTATGTAGTTCACTTAACCTTATCTCATTCACTTCACAAACACCGTCCAAAATATAATTTTTTCAAATGTATAATACCCTAGTTATGCCGCTGATTTTTATTATACTAATCGTTAATAAGTCAAATTATGAAAAAAAAGAAAAAAAACTATTGTTTTGAAAATCAAAGTGCGTAAAACTGAAGTATTAAATATTATCAAATAGGCATTATAGTACACAGGAGTAGAATGTGTTATATTGGTCAATTTTTAAAATTTAAATACACTACACACTACATTTTACAACTAAATTTGCAACAGCTTATTAGAGTAATAATATAAAAAATTTATATTTTTTTTCAGAAAAAACATACTTAGCGTTTCTGCACAGCTGCAAGTTTGATATTGAGCTAGCCAAAAAAACTATCAAGAAGTTTTATAGATATAACTTCGATATCCCTCAAATATTTTGCGAATTGGATCCATTATCCGAAGATATTGAAAACACTTATAACTGTTTGTGAGTATATAATTTTATAGTGAACGATGAGAGTAATGAACTATTTTTCTAGAACGTTTTCCGATGATATGAAAATATTAGACTAAAGTCAAAATCGAAAAAGATTATTTTATTTGAATTTGGTGACTTCGACCCTTATTGGGCGTGTGTAATGAATACACTTGTTACGGAAGTAGAGTTCGGAATTTCTTAACGCGGAAAACGCACAATACGTGGCAGAATACTATACTTGTTACTAATGAATTACAATTCAAATTATATGAAAACACTGGGGGTGTACGTGATTAAAGTGTTGATGGAGAATCATTTTCGTTTCGGAGCATTTGTTCACCAATGTAGATTTAGATAAATGTTTTTTTTCCAAAACGCGTTAATTGTTCTTTTTTTTTTTTTGATGAATATTAATTTCACGCACATCCACATAGGTATTTAAGTTGTTTTTATTTATGTTTTATTATGCAAAGCATTAGAATTATTGTCACACAAACACGTGTTTAGTGTAATAAAGAATTCATTCTATGTTACGAAATTTGTATTGTTCAAGACGTGCACTTGTACCTGCAGGTTTACGTTTCGAAATAATATAAAATATATATATATATATATATATTACGTAAGTAGTATTAATATATTACACATATAGCTGACAACCTCGATTCGTTAATTATTATAAATCGAGAAACAGTGCATGTAAAAACATTTAATGATTTCCATAGTAATCTGCAACGATATATATATCACATATTTGTTTTGCTCGACGGTCGCGATAGTCATGCGAAGATGTTTCGAATGCATTGAAATAATATTATATTTATATTATCTATGTATACTGCAATTTTATATTTTGGGCGACAAGCAATTGCGTACGCGTTACATAATAGCGGTACGATTTAATATGTATCGCTTTAAGGTTCGAAGTTAAGTGAATTCAGTAGGATTAAGTTTAGCCATGAGAACATCGAAGTATTAATACATGCACTATTATTATGTATGAGTAATTTCTGGAAGATAAACTCAAAATCAAATACGGATTTAATTTATTCCATCCGTATTGTGTTCAATAAACATTGATTTGTGATAATTGTTTTTCATACGAATAGTTTATTTGGATCAGGATATTAACGGTCAACTTACAAATAAAATACCGATAGGAAAAGTCGACTGACAGCCAATAAAATAATGTTTGTACCAAAATAAAATAAATGAGTAAAATAATAATTAAATATATAGAAAAAAATCTTGAAGAACGATCGACTGACAATTAATTATTTTATCGTAAATATATCAATAAAAGCTTTCTCCACCAATTAATTCCAACGTAGATGCAAAACTTTAGCATGTGTAACAATTTTAAAATGATCCATATCTATGCAAAAAAAAAAAGATAAAAATAAATTCAAATAACATCATAATTAAGAGGACGCTAAATCCATATATGTCATTTGTAGTGTATGTCTAATATCGGTTGATTGCCAATTTTGGTATTTTGACTGTCGCATCAGTCGAATAGTTGTCAGTCGATTAATCCAAATCCATTAGGATTATTATATCTGTAAGTATTTATTTTTTTTTTTTCCATTTCTTTCCACAGGAGCATATGTCAAATGCCGACGGTCAACACTGATAAAAGTGATCGAGTTCTATATATTCAGTTCAGAGACTACAATCCCGAAATGTTGGATTTCGTATCAGCTTATAAATACCTCGTCATGTGGATGCAATATTCGCTGTTGAGACATGGAACTTGTGATGGAATAATCGTCGTAATTGATGCAAAAGGGTTGAGTTGGCGTCATATTCTAAAAATTCCCATCAGCATAACCATGCAATTGATAAAATACATGGAGGTAGGTTGCAAAAAAAAAAAATAAAAAAGTTCCTCTTTTAAAAAATAAACCATAATATAAATATAAAATGTAAATGTAAATATCATGCCGAGCTAATGTACATGGTGAAAATCGTCCTATGTAGATAACCCGAAAACCTCTCTATAATATATCCATGATGGAAAACGGAATATTAATTTGGTACCGTGTGATTCCGTCTTAGATTACGTGTTTTATTGTAAAATTATTACGATTAAAATCCTGATGTTGATAAATTTAAGCATTTTTCGGTTTATGAAATATAATATAAATTATGTTTCCAAGTCTAAATGTATTTCTATATTTCGGATTAAGTAATAATTAATTTTTAATTTATTTTTGTTGTAATTTTAAGTCATTTTAAATTAGTTCATAATATTCAATACAAAATTAAAGAGTTTAATATTCATTAAATTATTTTTAATTATTTTTTAAAATAAAATTAGTACTCGATTCAGTAACTTGAAACGTCCTATCCTAACATCCATCAATGGAATTATTATTAATTCACAAACCATATAAATTGATATTATAGTGTTTTAGTAGATTTTTATAGTATGTTTTAATGAAAAAAATAAAAACACTTTTTTTCGATGTTTTTTACATTTCAAGGACCTTTTTGTGCGCTTAGCATTTCTCTAAAGGTTTTATAAGAATTTAACATCCAGGTTATAATTACGATGTCTAAATACAACAAATGTTGTTTATTCCATGCAATATTGTTTTGTTTTTTCATACATTTAGCGTATGAAAAGTATAATGTGTTAACTTATTTTGGAGTAGAAATTAACGCTATAATTATAACTTTATATGCTTTTTAGGTAGCCCTGCCAGTTCGTTTAAAGTCGATACATGTATTAAACTGCGGATCAGCCATACAGGTGGTAATGAAAATGATTACAAAAATCGCTAATCAAGAACTACTAGGAAAAGTAAGTTAAGCTCATGTTTCAGATATTTAAAAATATATATAAGCGAGTGCTTAATACTATTTCATACATTTCGTACACATTATATTATTCTGTAGTCATACGAAAAATAATAGATAGATAATACTCTTTTTTCAATTATTATAATATCAATATATACTAGAGGTCTTAGTTGTGAATGAGTATTAGAATACATGATTACGGATCCCGAACACGCGACAAAAAATTCGGTGCACACGAATATTTCGGAGGCAATTCAAGTTCCCTTATATTATTCCCCATATTCGAATTGCTTCCCGTAATAATCGATATAATTGACATTGATTTCGATATTTTGATTTTGGAAATTGAGTGATAGTGAATATACTGTGACTAAACTTGTTCTAAATTCTAAACTTGTGATCTAAAACAAATAAAATGTGTAGTTATTTGCGGTTATAATAATATTTTAGCAGCATATCGAATACGATAATAGGTATATAAGCTTGAGTATAATAGAGATAAAAGTGCTACATTTTCGTACTTACTGCTCGCTAACATGCTCGGTAACAATTTTACCTATTGCCATTGAACAATAGCGGAGTATGATATAGCAATAATATTATAATATAATATATGATTTGATATAATGTTGCTTTTATTAGTTTTCATTATAAAACTACAGATTGACACCAGGTACTATATCTGCACTATCGCGTCAGTATACGTTTGTGAACTATCTTAATGAAGCCGTGGTATATTTTTCGTTATAATTTGATAATTTAAAATAATTAAATAATTTATTTTGATCAAAATGTCTATAATTTTAAGTGACATGGGAAAAACTTATAATGGTTGATGTTATTATTGTATAAGTCGATAGTTTATATCAATTGTATTGATTCGATTAATAGAAAATTTACAAATGTAAGGCAATTCGAGTTTCCACAAAAAATTTAATATATGTATGACCATGTAAATAATACCCTTGTATATCTGTGTATAATACCTGTGCTTACCCACGTAGTGTATATTGATTCAGAATTAATATATACTATAAATATTAATATCTATAAAATATAAAATTATGCATAGTCTCATAATTATTAATTTTTTTATAAATATTGTTATAAATATTAATTAATAATACTAATTGTATAGAACTTAATTACTTATATATTAATTTTATTTATTATTAATTATTATTAATTATTCTAATTATTTAAAGATGTTATAAATAGTTATTAGTTATGCTTAAAAATTAATAACATGCGTTAGTTTATCATAAAATTGTATACAGGTACAAACTAAAAGTATAATAATATATAAAAGAGTAATATTTAAACTGGTTTTAAGATTAAAGCTTAGACAACCAAAAAACTATTTTATCCAATTTTATTTCATTGCATTTACGTGTGTATGGCTCGTATTTAAACATTTTTGGTGATTTTAAAATCGTTCCATAACTTATTATTGTACTTAAATATATGAGTATTCAAGCTCACGAGTATTAAGAAACATGGTTATTAAAATACGCGGGTATGCACGAGTATTTTTACTACTCGGGTCTTAATTCCGTCCTCTAATATATATTTACCAGCCAAAAAAATTTTTCAATTAGTAAATCAAATTATTTACTTGTCGTAACACAACCATCTTTTATTTTTCAAATTCTAATAAAATTATACTCACAATATTTGAAAATGATTATTATACAATTAGGTCATGTATTTAATTGAATAAACGTTTAAGTTCTAATATATATATATATATTGATATTAATATTAATATACTGTACGAAAACTAATTAATTAACCTTTTACCCATTAATTTATGATAATCAGTGAGATCCAATATCTAATAAATTATATATTTGTATAAAAATTGTTAATATTATTATTAATGTATTCTGACCTTCATATTTAATTTCGATTTCCTATTTTATTAAAAAAACTCGTAGTATATCGATGTATTATAAGTTTCGGTCCTTCGTTCCTTTTTTTAGTGCTTGTTTAAGATTATTTTCTTTACTTAAATTTATAATACTAGTACTCGACAAAACAAGATAACCTCACAGGTACACATTAAAAATCGATTACTTAAGTATGCAAAAATACATAAAAAATAATGTTTATAAAAATTTGATTAGAGATATAATACCAAATAAACATGTTTTTCTGAAAAAAAAAAGTTATGATCATGGTTTATAAGACTATGCACGTTGTAAAATGTACATTTGAATTAACAGAATAAAATATATAGTATTTTACCATAAAATTGATATCATGTTATATTTAAATACATTTTAAAACAATCGTATAGCACAACATAGATTCGTTATAGCTTAAGTAACAATAAACAACGTAAAAATATATTATCTGTAATGAACCACTGTTGATATTTTATTTTATCATTCGAATAAAATGAAATGTAAATTTTCCTACAGCATTGTGTTTATTTTCATTTAAATCGTTTAGTTGTCATTTTTGTTTATTATCAAAAAAAAAAAAAAAAATCTGTGTTTTATTTTAAAGGATAATTCTCATTAGGTACTTTATTTATGTTTTTTTGAAATATTAAATTTTAAAAATGTATAACAATAAATAAAACTTGCTTCATTGTTTGCGAAACATCCGATGAGTGGGTTTTAATTTCACGTGGTTCGCACCGGCAGTGCATTGCAAACAGTACTTAAATATGATTTCAAAACGGTATCAAATGTGGACAGTTTAGTCATTGGGTAAATTGCAACTATTTTATGTGTGTCCACTCGTGGTGCTGTAGGGAAATTTAAAACGTTCGACGATCAATTGTAGTTAGGCTCGTATGATCAGAAATGTAAATCTTCTTTGAGTACTAATATCAGTCGGACGAACCACATGCATCGAGTTACAATCGGTGCACGTGGGTAGGCGGTGGAGATCTTAACATCTAAAATGCACGTTAAACTATGTACAACAGATACAACTCCATCAAGTCGGTTCCAACAATATTTTCGATTACGTGCCGAAAAAACTAATGCCTTTGGAAACCGGAGGGTATGGAAAATCTCACACTTTCTACAACGGTAAGGTACCGGCGCACGGGAGCGTTTCGGGTCGCAGTAACTGATCGTTTCACGTACTGTTTACTATTTTTTACAGACGAGCTGTACAACAACATCGGTGACATCCAAGATTATTTCCTCGAACAGAACGAAGTGTTAAACAATCAATTGGCGTACAACAAGCAACGGATGGTCGAAGACAACGAATAGAAGAAACGGGGTGGCAGGGGTTGAGGGAGGGAAACGAAATTATTATTACCATTATTTTTCGATTATCTTAACGCATTAGTATTAGCAACGCTAATGGAACGCATTGGTTTCATGCGTTGTAATATTATTTTAAGTGAAATATTTTGTTGCTTCGCGATTAACGTGCCATCATTAATATTACCTTACTCGCAACGATATCGGCAGCTAAACGTACTGCAAAGCAGTTACTGTGCGCGCTTATTTACGCACATATTTATTATAGCTTTTTGATTTTTTTGTTCACGCATCGTACGTTGCGCCGCGAGTTATGACGTATTTAGTATTGACGATTTTGTATTTTTTTTTTTATATTTTTATATAAGTATATTTTTTCGCGCTATTGGATAAAGCTGACTTACGTTGGAAATAAAAACAAAAAAATATATATTACTGTTTTATTGTAATAGTGTAACTTGTCGGACAAAAATTGTCCAGTTAACAATCATATATGCTGCATCAATAAGATAATAAATGCAAAGCGATTATTGATATTCGATGAATAACGAGGTATTTTTATGGCATATCAACTTGACGAAGTACGCAAATAAATTGTACGTGATATTGACGTATCTATTTAACAGTAACTAACGATATTGTGACACATTTACGTTACATACGTTTGATAATAAGTTATCGATATATTATAACTGGGTTTTGAATTACATTTTCTCATCTACGTTTGTACTATTTTCGTTTTTATTGTTTTTTTTCACGAGTCCATTTAGAAGTGTAATCGATGTACATGTAATCGATATTCCATCGATATCATTTTTCTCCGGTACACTCCAGACATTATTACACGTGTATTACGTATTTACGTTAGCAATAAGCGAATTAAAACTTAATTGCTAATCAAATGGACTTACGGGTAGTGCACCGAACAACACTTAATGCGCACGCAAGTCTAAAATTTGTAATTTAAGTTTTAAATTAAATTGATTCATAATAATATAATATATACTATGGATTTACTTATGTTTTTGTGATTTGTCAGTTTTTTATTTGAACGTTAGGTATTTTTGAAGGAAAATTGATTATTTGATTATGATACGTTTTAAATTTAGTTCTCCTTTTTGTTCCAAAAATAGCGGTAAAAGTGTCTTGGTTAATATCGGTTATTTAAACGTAGTCATCATTAAGGATTTTTTATGGTTTTCAGTGTAGTATATAAAACAAAAACATAATAACTGATCAACATTTTTTAATGGTAAATCAAGGAGCTAATGGTTAATCATTTTTATTTGACAATATTTTGAACATTTAACTTGGAAGCATAAACTAAATAAATAAATAGGTACAAATCTGTTATAAATTAATTTTTGTCTTAAATGAATTAACTTTTAATTCATATTAAATATCACATGAAAACAATATAATTTTAAAGTAATGAACAGTTAATTTTTAAGCTATACATAAATATATTTTATTTTATTTTTTTTCTATTTTGCAACATTTTAGTCATTGTTATTTTAGTGATTTAATTAACTTCAAAATCCATACATTTATCGGACAACATTTAAATTGAATGTTTGTAAAATGCAGTAAGTTTTTTTGATTGTGATATCCATTGAATTGTAACAGTATAGGAGGTATAAAAATGATTGTGACATTTAACATTGTTATAACGCTGTTAAATTGTTCTCACACGAATAATATACGAAAAATTAAAATTAAAATTTCTTATTTAAATTTTTGAGTAATTGGGTCTTAAAATTACAATATTTAAACGTTTAACATGGAATTTAATTAATGTTATTACATTTGAGTAATTCAAATTAATAAAATTAACCGATTGATAGTGAAGCTAATTACAGTTATTACTTGTAGTAACATATTTTATACTGAGCAAATGCAGTTCTCTTTCACTGCCTCCCTGATTTAAATTGGTTGGTTATTAACTACTCGTATATTAGGTATTTACTCAAGAAATCATCACAAATATTTTATTATTTTTAATAGATTATGTTTGTAGAGTGTGAGTTTCACATTTTGAACAATTTAAAAATTGGTTAATTTTGTATGTCGTAGAACATGAAATACTAAAAACTTATATAATTAATCGTTTTATTATTTCAAATATATTATACGTGACAAATACCAAAAACATCAAAAAGTAATTTTATGATTGATTATGTTCAAGCGAGCTATTAACTAATGTTAAAATAAATCACTATTATTAAAATTATGACACTACTAATAGTTAATAAATTTTTATGACGTTGGACTTTTAAAATATGAATAATAAGTTAAGTAAATGATTTTTGGTCAAGCACTTTCTAATTTGTAGTTAGTCCTAGAGCAAAAATAATTGTCCAAACAATTGTTGAGTACAACACAAAGTATACTTGGGAACACACATATATATTTTTTACCTTCCAAATACATTCAACTTGAATACTAGATGATTTTTCAAAAAGATTTTTATCACAATAGAATAAATCGTATTAAAAAATTTGACTTCATGTCAAATGAAAATCTGTTTTCCGAATTTTATCAACCGAAATGATCGAACGGAGATTAGTTAGAGGTTATCTATTAGTGATGATCAGAATTGGTCTTGGTTTTGCGGTCTCGCAAGATTCTTGCTGCAAGACCAAGACCAAAACAAAATCATCACTGCAAGACTCTTGCAGTATTGCAAATTTTTTTTCCCCCAACTAACACATTAGTTATTTAGATTTCATTAACTAAAATTTATAACGAAAATTATAAGAAATTAATTTTATTGTTATTAAATTTGATCAGTATTCAAGGAAATGACGAATTATTGAAAAAATGATTAGAAATAATTGGAATTAATATTATATAAAATAACATAATATAATTGTTTCAAACTTATCAATTTGTATTATATATTTTATATAAGATTACTTCCGAAAATGGAAAATGAATATTGTGTTTGACAGTCGAATGGTGTGATTTAAACAGTGGATACTGTTTATGACATATACTTCTTTACTTAACTACTTCTTTGAATTTTTTTTTATCCTTACTTTGATACGAAATAAATACATTCAATTTAAATATGTTTATATACTCCTATATATTTTTCTATGTTGTTCCCAAAACTTCACTTTAGGCGGATCTGCCATTTTTTTTTTAAAAAATCATAAATAATTAAATAATTTTATCACCTACTTATTATATTAATAAAATTCAACATGGATTCATTAAAAAAAAATTGTACAAAAAAAAGTACAAAATACTGTATAAGTTAAATTTCAATTTTATTATAATTGGTTAATGGCCATGCTGGGGATGTGTATCCTCAACATGGCCATAGAAAAATCGGGTTTTCTTGGATTTGGGTGGGTGTACAAAATTTTACAAAAAAAGTACAAAATACTGTCAAGGTTTGGTACTATTATTCAAAAGTCGCCGTGCTGGTGATACGGACCTTATGGAACGTTGAACTACTACCGCTAACTACTGGTCAGAGTATGGACTCCAGATCTACATTCTGGAAGCCACAAAATATTGAGGAGGAAAAAGTGGAATCAAAGGAAGAAAAGGAGGAGGAGGAGGAGGAGGAAAAACTAACCGAGGTGTTATTATTAGCCTTCGGGAAATACTGGTGAAGGCACATACATGGAGGCTTTGAATGCAGATCAAAATTTAAATGACTATGAACGAAAAATGTTGATGAAAAAGACTCATGAGGATTATATACATGTTATCTATGATAATCCACCAACGGACTCGGACTCGATAATGGAGGATGAGTTAGACGATGAGGAGGAGGAGGAAGATGAGGATTTGGAGGATGAGAGCGAGATTGAATGAAAAATGGTTTATATATATTGATGGTAATTACTTTTTTATTAAATATCAAGAGAAGGGCGACATCAAACTCATTATAAAGTTGATAATTTGATTGATTTTTCAAATATTTTTTAATTTTAATTTCAATTTCTTTTTTTCGATCAATCAATTATTCTTTTGACCCTGGGTGTTATTTTACTTTACTTTATAGCAGGGGTCAGCAACCCGCGGCCCGCGAAGCAATATTTTATGGCCCACACAAAGGTGGTTAATTTTTGTGTTTTATTTTTGTTCAATAAATTGTTCATACAATTTTCAATACTATTCAATTCTTTTTTCTTTATAAATAAAATTGTTATTATTATCTAATCGGAGTCGAAGATAATGATTGCTGCACTACTCAGTCATAGGATAAATTAAATATACTTATATATATTTATAAATTAAAATTTTAAATATATTAATCTATGTATTTAATACATATTTATCTAATATATTTAATCTATGGTCATAGTTACTTTGCATTTGTAACAATTAGTATTACATCGTGATTACGCCCGTACGTGTGACTGTTTGCGTTTGTAATAGTTTCATTTTACAAGTAAATCCAAACATTATGGCGACTAAAAAAAGAAAAATTTGTGATGAACATCGTTTTTTTAATAATTCTTGGGTTGATTTATACTTTTTCGTCGAAAACAAAGGTAAGCCATTATGTTTAATTCTTCAAAAAATTAAATTTTTTCTTAAAAGCAATTTCTTCCAGTATCTAATATTCGTATTTTTTACACTCATATTTCTATGTAAAATAACCAAATATAATAGTAATACAATTATTAGTATATATCATATGTAAAAATTTTTTTTTAATGTGGTCCTTGATAAACATTTGAAAAAAAAATATGGCCCGCGTGATTCAAAAGGTTGCCGACCCTTGCTTTAGTATTGTACATATAACTGCACTACATAATTACTAAACATTTAATATCTTTATTGATTACAAAAAAAAAAGGAATGATAATGTATTTATTTCATATTCATTTTATTTAGTTTGTATCTTTAAAATATAATTCTATTACATCAAGTAAATTAAAAGAATTAATTGCACAGTAGATACTACCATTAAATAAAAACAATATAATTTTGACAACTGATGGTGCAATTTTTTTTTTGTCAACTGTGTAACAAACACATACCATACATTAAAAAGTCTCAAATCGCAACAATACATAGATACATCTTACTCATACATCTTCTCACGAAGAAGCTCTAAAACGTAAATTAAATACTTCAAAACCATTATTTTTATCGGAATCTATTTCTAAAAAAAATGTAAATGAATTCTATGAAGACTTATGTTTGAGTTTTATTTCTGCTAATATACCGTGATATAAACTACAAAATCCACAATTCCGTGCATTTTTAGAAAAATATACTGGCAAACATAATATGTTAAATTATACCCGATGAATGTTACGAAAAAATTATCTCCATTATTGTTATGATAAGACTTTATCCAATATAACAAATGAAATTGGCGAAAATAACATTTGAATTGCGGTTGATAAGATTGCAGATATAAATGGTCGTTATGTGGCGAATTTATTGGTTGGCGTATTAAAG